CTCACTGGCCTCCCAGGTGGCCCTCCAGGTGGATCTCACGGGCCCCTCCCAGGTGGCCCCTCCCAGGTGGCCCTCCCAGGTGGATCTCACAGGTCCCTCCCAGGTGGCCCCTCCCAGGTGGCCCTCCCAGGTGGATCTCACGGGCCCCTCCCAGGTGGATCTCACCTGCTCCCAGGTGGGTCGGGCTGGGATGTGGGCTCAGGCCTGCCTGAGGACCCGAGGCCCCAGACGCAGGGGAGGCCACGCGCCATGCACAGGGGACCCGGACCCTCAGGGCTGAGGCGGCTGGGGGCGAGCCTCCCAGGGAGCATCCCAGCGATCCCACCTCACTGCCCAGGGAAGGGGGGACCGCCTCCTCCCCAAGAAGCGATGGTGCTCCCTGGAGGGGGGACCCGCTCCTGCCCCCACCGCGCCCCGCCTCCCCTCTGCGACTGCCCATAGCTCTTCCACTGCCCAAGGATAGGAAGGGGCAGGGAAGGTACACGGAGGGGCCAGGTGGAGGGCACCCCAGGAGGAAGGGAAGGCCAGCGGCTGACCTAGGATCTCAGAGGTTCAGAGGTCGCCAAGCCGGCCCTGCCCCACCCCTTCTCTTCCCGCAGCCTGCTATGGGGGCGGCGTCCCTGCTGCTGTGCCTGTCCGTGGCCCTCCCGCTGCTTCTGGGCGCAGGTATGTTGGCGTTGCCTGGGCCTTGGCCACCTCACCCTGTGTCCCTGCGGCCCGCCCGCCTGGTTTGTGGGCGGGGGGAGGGCGGGGGGCTCTGAGCCTGCAGCTCACCTTTCTGGGGGCCCAGGCAGGGGTCTGCGGAGTGGGAGCATCCCTTCCAATGCCTGGTGCTCGGCCCCAAAAGGCCATGAGCTTTGAGGTGACTTAGGAGAGGAGGAGGGTAGGCAAAGTGCGAGTCAAGGCTTGCATTCAACAGCACATGGATGGAGTGCTGTCTGTGTCCTATGGCAGCTCTGTTCTATGGCCCAAGGTAAAAGCAAACCAGGCAATTTGGTGGAAAGGAACTTTAAAGCCAGCGGATTTTTAAACAAAATAGCTGGTGACAGAAAACAGGACAAGGAAGGCTGAGAGCAGGAAGGTTTCCTCTGAGAGGAGGGGAAAGAATGAAGGCCTTCCGATGGAAGGGAGAGAGGGGCTCATTCCAGAGGCTGACAACCTAGAGGAGGCAGGAGATTCAGTCGTATGGCACACCGGGAGGACTCTGAATTCTGCTTTCACATCAACACACTATTTTTGGGAAATTCCCACACTGAGAAAGCTCTCAATGAAATTGGCTAGGAATTGACACATTTGTTAAACTATTAATAAAGACTTCCCTTTCATGATTACCTTTCCCTTCCCCTCCCTAGATGAATGCCAGGTCATTCGTGTGCTAACCGAGGCATCTTCAACAAAGCAGCCTTTTGCCTTTAATTGCACATCCCCTCTGCTCACTTCTGGGAAAGCACGAGTAACCTGGTACAGACGCCTTAGCAAAGTCCCAGTCTCCACCGACTCGCAGGCTAGGATCCACCAGGAGCAGAGCTGGCTCGTGTTCCTGCCCGTGGCCTGGGGGGACTCGGGGACCTACCGGTGCATTGTAAAGTAAGTTCCTCCCTTAAAGAGCACCAACACACTCTCCCAATCTCTCTCTCACTGACATGTTATAATTATGTCTATAATTCTTTTAGGAAAATTCTTAATAAATTCTAAAGAACTTAAAAACTCAATGAGAAGAATAAAATATAGTTTTATAGTTGTTATAAAACAATTTCCAATGGAAACATTTTAAAGCAGTGAAGATTTGTAAGTCAGTTGTTAAAATATGAAATACAGCTTTTCCCGTGGAAATGATGCCACAGCCAGACCAACTTCCAAAGCTGGTGTCTCCCACTCTTGTCTCTGCCCTCATTCTCTGCATGCCCAGTGTTCCTGTGATGGGCTGCACGTCCGGAGGGGAGCCAGCCTCCTTTGCCCACCTTTTTGTAAGGCATCTGCTATGGAAATGTACCAGTGACAAAGCACCACGTATGCTTAGGCCCAGTGTACACTGTGTAGATGAATGACAGCTCTGTGTAGATGGGGACAGCTGAGCTGGTGGGGATTGCAGTGAGCTGGAGCGTGCCTCACCAAAGGTGACAGTCTATTCAGCTCAAGTCCATTTTCCATTTTTTCAAGGAAACCTGAAAATTAGTGTGTGTGTGTGTGTGTGTGTGTGGGTGTGTGTGTGTGTAACTTTTCAATAGCTTGCGGTGTGTTGCCTAAATAAAACACACCTTTGGACCACATTTTGCCCAAGGGCCCCATTTTGTGACCTTCCTTTACTGACACACATGTGCATGACCTAACGCAGTGGTCGGTAAACTGCGGCTCGCGAGCCCCATGCGGCTCTTTGGCCCCTTGAGTGTAGCTCTTCCACAAAATACTGACTTCTGCGCGTGGGCCACGAAGTTTCAATCATACTGTACGTGTGCGCCCGCATGTGGTATTTTGTGGAAGAGTCATGCTCAAGGGGCCAAAGAGCCGCAGGTGGCTCGCGAGCCACAGTTTGCCAACCACTGACCTAACGAATGCTTTGGCCTCCCTGAGGCGTGGTTCTCTTGTCTGCAGAATGGGAAGCATTGCAGCGTGGTAGGGCCGAAGTGAAATGAGCTGAGATCATGGGACGTAGGCGCCTCCAAAGGGAAGCTGCATTCCCTCTCATTCTGTTTCTGTGGTATTTGCTGGTCCCTTTCTGTGGCCGGCTCTGATTCATACCAGATTCCTCATTTTCATATGTCAGATCAACCTACGGGACACAATCACTCAGTGGTACAGAAACAGAAGTGGCCGGTAGCCCGGGTACCTGGCCTCTTTTCAGTTTCACTCACCAGGCCCATCATGCTGGGGGGTGTGCTCTCCCATGACATACGAACTAGAGGTGGAGATTGTGTGTCACACAAATTCACTGTGAAATCCAAACTGGATTTAAAATATTTGAACCTGGGAACTGGAAAATGCAGAAAATCATCTTTCACAGAAAGGAAACATATTGTCTGTGATAGAAGAAAATAAACAAGAATTTTCATAAAACTTTAACATATACATACACATGATACATACTCAGTAAACTGTATATTTGAAATGTTTTCAAATTCACATAAAATTTGCAAGACTAGTATAAATAACTCTCCTCTATCCTTTAACTAGATTCCCCTTATTTAACACTTTGCCACATTTACTTTATTATTCTCTCTCCATATATTTGTACATCACACATGATAAGTTTTCTAAATCATTTTTCCTAAATCATGTGAGTTGTAGGCATTATGACCCCTGACCCTTTACTATTTCAATGTGTATTTCCTATCAGCAAAAATATGCTCTTACTAATCACATACAGATCACACCTTTAGGAAAGTGTACTGTTGTACGATGTTTTTTTATCAAACCCTCAGTCCATTTTTTACTTTTACCCATCCTCTCAGTGGCGAGCAATACACATCCTTTCTTTCCAGTAGGGGGCCAGGCAGGATCATGCCCTGCTTCTGGCTGCCATGTGCTTTTGCTCTTTTCCCCTGGACAGGTCCTTGGGCTGTTCCTCACGACACTGACATTTTGAAGGAGCACAGGAAATTGTTTTATATTAAGTCCCTAATTTGGGTTATTTCTCCCCAAGCCCCCCAGGTTGGAACACTATGACAGGGTCTGTCCTCCTAGGCCACACTCAGCGGCACCCGGGTCTGTCGGCCCCGGCCATGTCCCCGTTGGTCCCTGGGTAGAGTACTTCCAGTGCTTCCATGTGTCAGCACTTTCCCGGGTGCTGCGAGCCTGTGAGCTGTGCTTGTCTTGCTGGAGGCGAGTGTTTGCACTGTGCCTCACGGAGGATTTGCACGTATTTGAAGATGACCAGCATCGCTTGGTCCTGTGATTGTTTCATGAGGGTCACTCTGTTGTTTTCTTACAGTGATACAGACATGTGTCGCCAAGTACATGTAAACCTAACTGTGTTTGAAAAATATGAGTGCGGCATGTCCAGAAACAGTCAAATGAATTTCCCAGATGGGCACGAACAAATACTGCATGTTGGGAAAAACGACAGCCTGACATGTCACCTGAATTTCCCGAAGAGTTGTGTTTTGGATTCAGTAAAATGGTATAAGGTAAAAAAAAGAAAAAGGGATTTTCCCATTAATACTGTCTCTTCTTTTCTTTAAAACCTACTTGTTTTTTCAATTTAAGTTGTATTTTTAAGGCAAAATTAGTAAAGAGATTGTGTATCTCATACAGATTTGATAGCTGCTTGCTATTGACAATCTTATCTGCTAATTATTTATGTTTAAATTTATGGTTATTACTAGAGGCCCAGTGCACGAAATTCATGCACTCCAGGTAGTCCCTCAGCCTGGCCTGCACCCTCTCACAGTCTGGGGAGTGGGCCTAAGCCAGCAGTCCGACATCCTTAGCGCTGCCACAGGGCTTCCGGCTGAGCAGCACTCCCCCTGTAGGAGCGCACTGACCACCAGGGGGGCAGTTCCTGTGTTGAGCTTCTGCCCCCTGGTGGTCAGTGCACACCATAATGACAAGTTGTTCTGCCATTCAGTTGATTTGCATATTAGCCTCTTATTATATAAGATAGCTTTTTAATATTTTATTATTTGTATCTTCTACCTCCTCCCTACAATCCTTACTTTTCAGACCATCCTTGGCTATTTCTCTTTTCTAACAGATTAATTAATTCATATATTTGAATGGGCCCTCATATGCACATGAGGCAATAATCACACAGCATAACTCCTGGAAGTCTCCTTCCCACTCCTGACCCATGTGTGTCCTGGGCCCATGGCCCCTCCCCCAACAAGTGGCTACTCTTATTAATCCTGTTAAGTGTCATGTTTATTTTTGGGTTAAGTTCTAGTTTGCTTGAAGTCATATTATGAATGGATATTAAATTTTATCTGCCTTTCCTAATTATTAGATATGTTTTTCTTTTTACTCTGTTACTGTACTGAATAACAGGAACTGATTTGTGAATGTCATACCCATGTTGCTTTACTGGAATAATCTAAATTGGTATGTAACCCTTTATATATGTTGCCAGATTTGGCTTGCTTGATTTGTCAAAAAAATTTTTCATCTAAATCATAAAGAGATTGGTTTGTAATTTTTGTTGCCTGCTTTGTCAACAAATTTTGGTATAAAGGATATGCTGACCTTAGAAAATAAGTTGGGAAGTAATCTTTACTTTCTTCTGGAATGTTTAAGATTGACTTTATTTCTTCTGCTCTGTGCTTTTAGTATTTATAGTAAAGTTATGTAAGACTGGGACTTCCTTTGAAGGAAAGTTTTTAAATCATAGAATTCAGAGTCCTTAATTATAGGACCACTCAGATGCCCTACTGCTTCTTTATAGCAAACCTAGCACATTGTGCTTGCTTAGAAATTTTCATTTTAACTTTACAATTTTTTTTTTAGGGTATCATAGTTTATTTTAATGTTAAGAATATTATTCCTGAATAGATTCAAGATGGCGGCGGTATAGGCAGACGCATCCCAGGTCTTGTCCCGGAGCAAATGGAGTAAGCAGCTGAAACTAATAACACCAACCCTGAATTGGCGAAATTACACAGCTGGTGAGACAGTTTACAGCTGGGAAGGGCAGAGCTCCCCTGGAAAGGTAAAACACCAGATGGCCGGCGTTTGTTTGTTTTCACTGAACCCTGTTCATAGGACATTTCAGATACAGACACTCACCTGTGCTGAAGAGAGGGAGAAGGTGCGGATGAGTGGAATCTGGGGAGAGGCTTAGGAGAGAAGGGGGCCCAGGAGAGGTGGCAGCAAATTGAGTGCTGAGTCACCCCTGAGCCCAGGACTAGGGCAGCCATTCTCTCCGGAGATTAGGATTCCTCCCCGATACCTTTACAATTTTTAAGTTATTGAGCTAAAATTGTTCAAATATACTGTTATCACCTTTTTAATATTTGTAGGATTTGAGGTGATGTCTCTTTTTCATATCTGGTGTCATATTTCTCTCTCTCTCTCTCTCTTGTTTTGTTGACTCCTGCCAGGGATTTATCAACTTGAATAATTTTTTTCAAAGCGCTAACTTTGTTAACTCTGTTTCATTAATTTATGCTTTCATTTACCCCCCACTCTGTTTTCTTGGGTTTTAACTTGCTGTTATTTTAATAACTTTATGAGATGGATTTTTGGATCATCCTATATAATAAAGAGCTAATATGCTAATTAGACCAAACAGCAAAACGACCATCCGGACGACTGTCTGGACGACTGTCTGGATGACCTTCTGGATGAAGCGGGAGCTGCGAGGGCCAACTGAGGCAGCCGGGGCTGTGAGGGCTAAGCCTCTTGCATGAATTTTGTGCATTGGGCCTCTAGTTAATTATAAGCCTTTCTTCTTTTCTACTGTATGCATTTAAAGTCATTTTTCTTTAAATTCATTTTTAACTGCTTTCTACACCTTTAATATATAGTATATTCTTATCATTCAGTTAAAAGTATTTTCTGATTTCTAATGTTATTTCTTCTTTGAACTCTGTATTATTTTTAAGAATTTCCTAATTTGCAAATATGGTGGATTTTTGTTGCTGTTAATCCTTACCTAAGGATATTTTTTTCCATTGCTTTTCAGAGAGTGAAAGGAAGGGTGGGAGGGGGAGATAAAGAGAAACATCGGTGTGAGAGAGCCACATTGACTGGTTGCCTCTCACACGCCCAACCAGGGGCAGGGAGTGAACCTACAATCCAGGTTTGTGCCCTTGACTGGGAGTCGAACCCATGACCCAATGTTGTGTGGGCTGGTGCTCTAACCACTGAGCACACCGGCCAGAGCAATACAGTGGATTTTTAGAAAGTTACTTTTCTGTTTGTGGTAGTAAGCTTAATCGCACTGTGGCAGAGAATCTACTCCACATGTTGTAAGTAGTTTGAAATCTGGGGAGACTGCCTTCAAGTTCCATGTTTGCCAATGCCTCAGGCTTAGTCCACAGAATGAGAGAGCTGCAGTCTGGGTTTGTTAGTTCTTTGATTCACGTCCACAGTGCGCTTTCCCCCTTCTTCTTTCAGTTGCTTAGAAAGAGATGCAGAAGTAGCCCTCGGTGGGTGTGGGTTTTGGAGTGTGGCTCACCCACTTCTGAAGCCCAGTCTGCCTTCTCAGGAACCAGTGTCCACTTCCCCTCGTGGCTCCCCAGGCTCTGCTCCTCAGGCCTCGGCCTCCACCGCAGCCTCACAGCCCCTCCTGGCACCAGTGGGACCGGTCGGGGCTTCCCAGGAGGACTCTGGCCTGACCTGCCCCTGCTGAGCGCGTGGCCGTGAACGCAGTGACATCTGCAGAGGCAGACTGTGAGCATCACTCTGCCGCTCCCCCAGTGCCAAGATGCAGGTGCATTGCACCTCACTTTCTCCCTTAGGAAACGAGTTTGGACCACATGATTTCAGAAGGCTTTCCAATCCCACGGCCACTCGCTTGAGGGCACAGCCTGTTCCCTTCCATCCCAGCGTGATCGGATTAGAGGAATGGGTAGTTGTTAGCAATTTAAGCAGCGTTATAATACTTATCACTATTAAAATGCATGCCAATCTCTGTAAGACCCGGAGACGAACCCAGAGCTCCATGATTGGTCCTACGTGGGCATCAACCTTTATCCTACGGATCTTTTTAACAAGCAGATGCTCGGCCTCTTTCTCTGCTACGAAGCAGATTATGCACGAGGGAGACTCAGGCAAGTTTCATTTTGAAATAACCATTCAGCCCGAGAAGACAGGCGGGAGCTAGGAGGCAGGTGGTATAAGGAGGAGGGGTCATTCTCCAGTGTCAACCTGTGCAGACCCAGTATCTCAGTTATGGCTCTGTTTTTGCCACTAACTGACTCACCCCTTGGGCCTCAGTGTTTTCATCTGTAGAATGAGAGGGTTGGAATAAATTATGAAAATATTTAGAGCTTATCATCTGCCTGGTGCCATGCCAGGCAATGGGGATGTAATGATGAGCGAGCCCTCACTTCCAATAGCTATAATTTACCAGAAGGGCAGACAAGCAAGCGAAACAGTTTTCCTTAGAGCACAAGGTGAACTCAGAGGAGGCAACATAAGATCAGCCACAGGCCTTTCTGAGGGAGGTGACTGCTGAGCTGTGTTTACAGAATGATTGACAGCTAACCTGGGGGGAAGGGAAGGGAGGATGGGAATTCAAGGGAACAGTATGTGAAAAGGTATCAGTGAGAATGGTTTGGGGCATTGATTAGAGTTTAGGGTACAGGTAAGCGTGGGCTAAAGTGGTATTAGGAGTAGGAGACCTTGCATGCTAACTGACACACAGCCCTTCCCACTCACAGTACTTTAACAGCTGACCACACCACCAGGATAGTGACATGATCAGCTTTGTATTTGAGTGAAGTCTTCGTGTGGGCACTATAGTGAATAAATTGGAAGGACTTGATGATGGTGGTGTGTTGATTATTTAGGCTATTTTAGAATTTAATAAAAAATGGGGATCATTTTAAAAGTGCATGAAGTGGAACTGGTAGAATGGAGGAAAGGAGGGGTAAGCAGAGGTCACTCATTTGTGAAGGCCTCTGTTCTCTCTGTTACCTGGGAGATGCCATGTGGGAGATTTGAAAAAGGCAGCATGGTGAGTAGGTGAGTGTGGTAGTGAAGACCATGCATCTGGAGTGGTGCTGAGACCCATGCTTACCTTACAGTGCTCAGCTGGCGTGGGCGGGGACCACAGGACTGACCTGGTGCGGGTTTGCAGGGTGGATACACTGGCTGGCAAAGGGCTACAGAGTTCAGTGGCTGAAAGGGGTGATTAAAGTCATAGCCACAGGACTGTTTTCTTTAGAAAGAAAACAGTGCCTGAAGGAAACTAGAAATTAGGAGTAAATAAAGGGTTAAGGGGACTGATTCAAATTAAGATAAGAAATTGGATTAGGTGCATAGACAGTTCAGGCAGGAAACATGGCAGACATGGTGGCAAACACTCACCGTCCACGGTGAGCCTCCTCCCGCCACAGAGACCAGGAAGCTGGAAGGAAGACAGGGCAACCAGCACACCTGCGCTGCCAGGGTGCCTGCAGCTCTGGTCCTGGACGGACTCTGCGTGTCCCCTGCTTCCGGGGAGGCTGGTGTGAGGGCAGCACAGCAGGGGCGGGAGTCTCGTGCATGTGTCCCTGGAGTTACTTGTTGGGCTGGCTCTACCAGATGTGACAGGATTTCACAAGGACATCGGCGGAGTAGTCGCTCCTGGCCTCTGACTTGCAGGTGGTGTAGTTCCAAATCCGGGCCCCACCATCATGATTGTGGTGGAGGTAGCAGCTGTTGTATGAGCTAGTCCCACAGTGCGGCGCTGGACCAGACCTCACTCCCTGAGCACTTCTTAACATTTTGTAAGCACCTAATACCCTGTGTTGAATCCTTTTCTGCCTAAAATAGCCAGAATGCTTTTGTTTCTTGCAACTAAATCAAGTCTGAGAGCTAGGACCTCATAGAGTTTTAAAGATTAAATGAAATAATTTCTCCACTAAACATTTAGTTCACTGTGGGCACATAGCAATTACTGTAACAAACATTATTAGATATTATTACTTAGTGAAAATAAAGGGATGAAGAGGTGGCATAGTAAAAAATTATAATCAGAATGGTATATATGTTTTTAAGAGTTTAGAGACATAGTAGTTATGGACAAAGTTTAAGTTGTGGCTGGGAGAATTGAGGCCTGGGAGGGATAAAGATTGTCCTTGAAATCGAAGGGGTTGAGGGGAGAAAGTTTGGACATTAAATGCCCATTCTTATAGATAGAGAAGTGCCTACACGTGGAAAAGCTGTCTGTCTCCATTGTTTTTGGTTCCAAATTACTCCTCAATACAACAAGGTCCTCCTCACCATTGTGCGGAATCTGTACTGTGAGGTTACTCCTGGCTTTCCTGCTGCCAAATCTAACATTTATTTTTAGTCCTAAGCTTGATTTCCTACTAGCATTCATAACTACTGGACATTCTTTCCAGCTAAGAACTCTCTCTTCTATTCTACCTGAGACTCACTTCTTTTATCTCTGCTCCCCACACCCCCCATTCTTTCCTTAGCAACCATCACTGGGTTCTCATCCTCTATATTGGGGCCTTAGATTTTGGGGTTTCAATTTCAGCCACGGTCATCTTCTATTCTTGCCTTGATTACATTCAAATGGGGATGGCTCACGGAACCATTCATGCACAGAGGGCTCCCGACTGTCTCTCCCACTTTGATCTTTCTCTCAACCTCCAGATACTTTGTCCAATGGCCTAACATGTATTTCTCTTAGACATTTCCATCCGTAACTCAACCATTGCCACCATATTGAGAGCCACTTTGGTCTCACCCCCAAATCTGATCATTCTTTTGTATTTTCTTTACATTCTCTCTCCTATCTAACAACACCTTTGCATAACCAAAATGGGGTCATGAAAATCCTGTTCTCTCTCCATATTCCAAATTTGTCACTGAATTCTGTGGATTGGAATTGGTTTTTGTGTTCTATTCTTGCTGTTGTTACTGTACTGCCTTAGTTCATGCTCTGTTTAGCCTTAGTTTATGGAAATAACTTTCTAAAATTTTTCTAGTTTCTTGATCATTCATCTTTAATCCTTTCCCACACAACCAAATAGATTACTCTCAAACACAAGTGTAATAACCTTATTCCCTTGCTTAGGAGGCTTCCAAAACACATCCCTTTCCATGGTTTCTGCTGACATCCCTTGCCTGCCCCTCTGGTTTCATCTTCACATTCTTCCACAGCCACAACCTCTCAGTCAGAGCTCTGGGCTATTTTATGCCTCAGAACCATTGTACACGCTGGGCCAGGAGTGTTCTTTTTGGTACTTGAAACATGAAACACATTCAAATATTGGCCATTATGAATTTTTAAATTTTAAATCTCATTAGTGAGCTATCACCCAAGAATCTCTATATATAAAAGTCTAAGCAACCGAACAACCCAATGACCAGTTGCTATGACAGGCACTGACCACCAGGGAGCAGGTGCTAAACACAGGAGCTGCCTCCTGGGGGTCAGTGCGCTCCCACAGTGGGAGCACCGCTCAGCTAACCCACCTGTCCTGGCCACCCACCAGCCCAGCAGCAGCCACTCACTCCCTCAGTAGTAGTGCAGGTCTAATCTTCAGAGAATGGGCCAGGCACCAACAGACCAGTGTTGCTGGCACAATCCCATCAGCACTGCCTCCTGGAAGTTGGCCTCAGGCACTGCGGTCACTTCCCCTCCCTAGACACTCTGCAAGGAAGAAACAATATAAAACTGGCACGAATGTCAACAGGATGGATCCAGATCCTGGGCTGGAAAGGGAGTCCCACTGCCCACTTGGAAGGCGGATCGCGTCCCCCTCCCACCTGCCTTGGGACAAGCACCAGATGCAGGGCTTACTGCTGGCAAGCTCAACTTTGGTGACATGAGCCTCTCCCGATCAGGACTGACTGGGCACGAGCCTAAGGCAGGCGCAGCAAGGCTGGGATGAGCGGGAGCTGCAGGCAGTGTTAGACTGCCAGTTTCGGCCCAATTCCTGCAGGGCATGCAGAAGGACCACACCTGTGCACGAATCTGTGCACCGAGCCTCTAGTTGTTAAATAAAAATCAAAGCCTTATGAGAATTTAGACTCTAAAATAATGCTTCAGTGGATTATATTAGAGGCCATCCTAGTTACCATAAAAGGATAGAATGGCTCTTAAGCTAGCAAGGCTGAACTTTCATATGGTTAAATATTAGTACCTGAAAGAAAGAATGAGTCCATTTCCAAGGGGACTTCTCAGCAATGGAAACATGGAAAGTGAGGCCCAGAGACTGTGCCTACCTAAGCCCATGTAGAGAAGAGGTTTCCACAGTCCAGAGTCAAGCTTTTTTTGGCTTCTCCTCCGAAGAAGGTGACATCACACTATCAGAGTCTGATGCTTTCCCCTATCTGACTCTTACTCCTCCTGTCCCATGGGTAAGCCACTGTCCAGTTACAGCTTAGTTCCCCATGAAGATGTTTATAGAGCAATAATGGAAGACTTCTAGGAAGTTGTAGTTTACATGGTAAGTAAGCGAATGCTTGTCCTGGCATTATTGCATTTCACCTTCTGAGACAGATTTGTTAACACTGCTCCGAAGGCAGAGAATGAGGTCTAAAACGTGGGCAATGAGATCTTTATCTATAAGTTGAGGGTTTGAATGTCTGTCTTCTCTGTTATCACCAGTGTGTGCTCTCTGAGGCAGGGACAATTTGGCCTCTCAGTGCAAGCAAGGAGCAGGAACTTAAATGCAGAATGACTAAAATGGGCTCCATTGTCCAAGATGTCACTTTGTAGAGTGGAGCTTCCTGAAGAAAGGGGAAAGATACTAGTGTTCAGAAGTGGGTCTGAGAGATGGGAGAAGTAGCAATTAGCATAGAATGTGAGCTTCTGGGAGGACAGAGGGGTGTGAGACTTGGCCTCTGGGTGGCCACTGAGAATGACAGGGGAGAAAGGCATCCTGAGACTAACCAGCCTTCAGTGGGTTTGGGCTGAGGCTGTTTGGTGGATGCAGTGGAAGCAGGGGGGTGGAGGGGTGAGAAGTGGCATGGCGTCTGCTGTTCATAAACCTCCTCAGCACACATTGACTATGGTCCAGATAGAATGCTGGGAATGAGTTATTTTTGACCTCTGTAAAGGCCAACCCTTGAGAAGTGCAGGTACAATAGGGCCTGTGACACAGTGAAGCAGGCCTTGGCCAGGGGCATGGTGCCATCAGATGGTGGCCCAGGGGGAGAGAAGGCCCTGCGGGTGGAGGACTCTGCCTGTTCACATCCTCCCATTGAACGCATTGATGGCCCAGCCTGTCTTCCTCCAGCCTGCATAGTCTCTGCCCATCGACTCCCATTAGACTGAATGTTCGTAACACTCATTTCAGCCTGTTAAACATTCTCTGTCAACTCTTCCTGGAGAGCATTATACAGACTTCAGTTAGGTTATACACTACCTAATGTCTAGGGTTTATACACTACCTAATGTCTAGGGGCCACACAGTTTCTTGTATCTCCTCGCGGTTTATGGAATGCTGCCAACTGGGAATGTAACTGATCCAAAAATGCTCTTTGAGTTGAATTTTCTTTTCTTTTTTTATCTTAAGAACTGTAAAGAGATTAAA